GTCGCATAAACAAAACGCCAATTAGTTACTGCTGCAGTCCACCGTACGACGTTTCGCTGGTAATTACACCCAGCGTCATCGGGCGATTTGCCAGAATAGATCTAACACAAAAACTGTTGTTATGAAAAATATTGGTGGCGAAAGCCTCCTCCGTGTTTTGTTGGCTGCTGTTACCCCCCCTCCCTGCCTTGTTGCATTTAGTTTTAACCGATTAACCCCGTTGCCCTCACCCAACACGGCATTGAGAAATAAATGTATGAAGAATGAACCTCGGCTCTTTTCACCGATTGCCCATGTCTGTGAGGTATTCCTCACTGGCGAGGAACTTGCAAGCGAATACAAATACATTCGACGGGAGCTTCTGCACGCGTGACGTCATTTGGAAGCCACTTTGTTTACCATCAAATGAGTTTAGAAAGTTATTTTATATCGTTCTGGGTCACCATATGGAGTAAAAATGTTATCGTAGTTATTTTATGTTGCCAAATTCAAATGCGATACAGTAAGTTTAGCTGTGACGGTCCCACCTGATGACGGAGACTTGTGTTGCCTCCGAAACGTCGTGATTTATTATTTTATTTCTATAATTATTTCTATTATTTCTATTTTTACCTACGTGACTTTGCCGAAAAAACCTAAGAGTATGAATCCTTGCAGTCACGAAAAAATCTAGAATGTGATAACACTGTCTAAAAAATGTATTTATTTTTTGTTCCTGGGTAGTAAGTGTGATTTCCTAATTGCTTATGCCTCAAAAGTACAGAAAATGGCTATTATTCTCCACAAACTTTGCTTTTGTAACCAGGACATTGATATTTAGAAATTTACTTATTTTCAATGAGAGAACGGGCGAATTTGTTGTCTTGGTCTTGATGCTGCTGAGATTACGCACTCCCAGAGTGCCATGCGGCTCATAGTTTGTGTAAATAAGAAATGCCTTTACTTTGTATGTGGGAGAGACATTGCTGAGTTACTTGATTTACATTTTCACAAGGACGCGAATGATTATGTTGAAAGTGCCGTGACTAAAATACGGCCCCTATTCTTGTGATTTTATAATTTACGATGTCGCAGCGGACACTGAAGGTTTCGTTCCATGGCAGCGACGCGCCCCTGCTCCCCAGGGTGCGATGCTGCGCGCGCGTGGCGGGCAGGTCACGCGCGTCTGAACAGGAGACTGGGGAGAGATTCACCTGTTACCTGCCACTGGTGGTGCGGGTCTTCTTACCTCGCATGCAGCGGATCCAGTGGCGGAGGTATCGAGTGTGCAGGCGGCGCAACTGCGCAGAGGCGCGTTGGTCAGGCTACTAACAGGGTAAGGGGGTGGGGGGAAATTTGACAAGGGCACGAGAGTGATTTCCGACCTCTGCGATTAGCACGGTTGGTTAAGTACGGTGCGAAATAAGTTCGACGTAGATACACACGTAGAGTGATCCACAGCAGCAGCAGTCGTAGTGAGACCTTCTGTGGAGGGTGGAATGACGGAGTGGAGCAAGTCACCCGTGCTGCTGCTGCTGGGTGTTCTACACGACCCGCGCAGATCTGCTGCTCTGTGCAGCACAGCTACAGGCTACAGCTGCACACGCGGGTGGAGTGGTGAGGGCGCACTGCACTGTGAACCCCGGCCACCTGAGTCCGATTCTCAGCCAAGGTTTAACATCAGTGGCGAGCGATATCCGAACCGATGGCAAAGTATGGTCAAACAGAGGTATGGGGCCGTCCATAAATGACGTCACGCGATTTTGGACGATTTTTGATCCCCCCCCCCTCGTCATCACAAAAAGTCAGACCCCCCCTCAAATATGACGTCTCAAAGCTCTGCCCCCCCAAAAAATAAAACATGCTTCAAATCGCTTTAAACTATTGTCATTGTAGTGCGTATTTAATGTGGCGCTGCACTCCGATGTTGTAGGGGAAAACATTTATTAACAAGTCTATTTAATTAAGTAGAACGTGTTGTCTATATTTATTTAAAGTTGCGCATTTTGATGTGACGTCACATTTCTCAAACACCCCTCCCCTCGTCACACATCGTCACAAATGTGTGACCCCCCCCCTCCCCAGGTGCGTGACGTCATTTATGGACGGCCCCTAAGGTCAAACAGCACCCATGACCGCCGCACTGCGTGGGCAGGCCGCATTAATCCAGCGGTGGATTGCCACGTGGCTGGAGTTCATTGTTGATGTCTATATATGTTTTCTGTTCTAAGGGATATTGCCCAATCCTTTTACCCCTCTTGTCTGCGTGTGTAATGCCCTGCGGTGACTCGTGTGCACACGTTGGCCATTTAATGCGAAGGAACCCGCGGTATTGTTATTGCTCAGCTCCTAATCGCCGCAGAAGTAACTCCACACCGCCTCAGGTGCTTCCTGAGCGCCCGGCTGTAGGGGCAGAGGAGACGCATCGCACAACAGCAGCAGAGCCAACACGTGCACAGCCCACAACGCATGGCCTCGTAGGCATGCACTTGTGTGTGTGTGTGGGAGGAAGGGGGGAGCG